TAAAAAAAACAAGACAAAAAAATTATACACACATTATTTCCCCTGCAATCAATATTGACAGCCACTTTTCTGCCTAAATGTTTGCACCAAAAGCAAATATCAGAACCACAAAACCTAGAATTAAAAAATACAGAGGCCGAGACCATAACGAAGAGGCCACGTCTCTTCTTTATATAAAAAAATCTACAGTGCAACAAGATATCATTATACAGATTCTTAAATTCTTACGTGATATTTTTAGTTAATAAAAAGTTCTATTTCAACAAATTTTAAACATATATTAATTAAAAGATAACCTGTAATATAACATGATTTTCAATTGGCATTAACCATTTTTGAAAGGTTCCTAATATGAAGCTAAAATTTCTTAGATTTCCATCGTTGTTAATTGTTGATGTTGGATGTGGTTACATTCACCTACTAATTTGTTAAATGCCATATAAATTGGTTGAATTATATATTAATTTAATTATTAAAATAGTTAATAATTAATAAAATAATTAATAATAATTATTAAATATATTAAAATTAATTCATAAAAATATTTTAAAATATAATAATTAATTATTTTTTAAAAAATTATAAATTAATAAATTATCATACTAATCCTATGAATTTAACAAAAAAATTTAATATATCTATCAATACTAACAAATTCAACAATTAAATTTTATAAAAAAAATATTTTAAATTTAAATTTAATAATAATAATTTTTTAATAAATATATTAAATTAAATAATATACCCATTATTGACCTTTAAAAAAAAAAAAAAGTGCGCACATAACCTCAGCCCTAGAGTATCCATCAGTACAATGAAAAATTTTACCGTCTTTTTCTGACCTGCCTGTAAATGGCACATGAAATCAATTTCTGAATTATGATCCATCAGAAGGCATGCGTGGGCTGGCTCTAAATCTTTTGGGGCCCACCAATTACTGTAGTCGGCCCTCAATGACCCCCACCAGCTCCTGTTGTAAGTCATTGCTTACTGTTTTGATGGGTGCTAATCTGTTGTGTATGGAAACAAATGGGTCAAGTGGTGATGAGCTGATGATGCAATTGGGTTACTGACACGTGGCATGCGTGGTCGTAGGTGTGGGACCATGTGGAGTGTGGGTGGGCCTAAAAGTGTGGTTCCATGAGTATGGACCCATCACCTCAATTAGATAACAAAGTGGGCAGAGGTTTCCCTTGTTTCTAAAAGGAACCCATTGACTTGGCGTTCACAGGAATCATAGTGAGGGGCATGCAGCATGCTTGTAGCCTTTAAGGGGCTACTTTAACTAACTATAAAGCCTCTCTGTGGTCCTTGGCTCCTTTTTTAAGTAATCACATAGGAGTACATTATAGTTAGTCACAATTCTTATATACAAATCAATTCAATTCAAGTAGAGAACACGTGGGGACACAGAGAGAGAAAAATCACATCTATAATAAAAAATATAAAACAAGAGATAATCATCTTATTAATCATGTTCAAAATCTTTCTCAATCATCTATTTCAAGTTTCGAACTTTAGTTACAAATTGATATGATACTTTATTAGAGCCATTATCACATGGAGTTTTGAACATTGATGCCTTACGTTGTTTTTATTTAGGTAAGCAAATTTTAATTAGGTTAGGCTAATTTGATGAAAATCAAGTTTTGAATATGTATAATTCCACATATTTCTCACCATTTAAGCGAAGTGGGAATAGGATTATTACTGCAGCTTGACAAAAATTGATCAAATTAAGTTAAATCATGAGTAAATTAAAAGGCTTAACCTTTCTCCCAAAAAAAAAAAAAATAGTGTCATTTGAATAAATATGACTTCAAATTTGAAAAAACATTATTAAAAAAAAATGAAAAAACACTACATAAAGCAAAAGTTCTTCTGAAAATAAAAACTTGTTAGAGCTACTTAAATATTGGCCAACGAAAGGAAAAAAAGACTTGCATGATTGAGATAATTATAATAGGATAGGTGATGGTGTTTTTGTGTCAAACAGCATTTGGCCAAACAAATCGAAGTGCCTTTAAATGGACAATCCCTCTTTGTCTATTTTGAACAAAGTCTGGTATGGAGAGTGTGCCTTCAGTGTCATTAGCTCGCTTTATGACTAGTAATATCCCAAATTTTAGTCACTGAGAAAGGCGGGTTGGTGCGCCAGCGCAGGTAAGAGTCGATAGTACCGTCCAATTACCAATTGTTTAGTAACAATCACCTTTCTGTGAAATTAACAAGTTTTAAACTTGAGTTGCATATCATATGTCTAAATGGGTTTAGAGATGAGAGAATGCTCCTTCACATTGGACAATTGAGATATACAGATATATATATATATATATATATATATATGTATATATTATAAAGAATTGGCCAATCACCATTTTATAGAGTTTGGTCTTAGTTAATACATTTCCTAACATTTGGGCCAAAAGGATGGGCTGATGAAAAAGTGAATGTTGGGTGGCATTTTTTTTGTATTCTAAATTTCTAATGCGTTTTTGAATTTTACTTTTTTTCATATTCACTTTTTTAATGCATATTTCCTTACAATGTCCCTCATCTTTTTAAATCAAAAAAAAAAAAAAAAAAAAAAAGGCCTCTAAACACTTTTTTTCCCTTTTCACTTTGGTGTTTGAGAAAAAAAAATTCATAATTCCCTACCCCAAAACTTCTTTAAAGAAAATAAATTGAACCCTTTCATTCCAAATCATAAAATCCTCTCTTTTTTTCCCTTTAATTCCATTTTATAGTATACTATCCGTTCATCCTACAGGCATGGTGACAACTAGTAAGTGAGAGAAAGGGTTTTGCAGAAAAGGAAAAGTAAAAACGAAAATATCAGCTCAAACCCAAAAGAAACTACACTATTCGAAGAAATGGACCTCAATTAGGCCCCATCCATCTATCCTTATTACTTGTTCTGTTAATTTCCTTCTACAAAGAAGCAAAATAGTGTTTCTTTCCTTGGAACTGAGTCAGCTGTGGACAGCAGACCCAACTAGGAACTATGGGCCAGGTCATAGTGATATTGGGAGATCCAATCTCCAATGATCTTCACCTCTCTTTCCCTCACGTCTTGAAGCCACTTTGGATCCTCTTTGGTTGAGAACCTCAGATCTACATGGTGAGCCCCTATTCACCCAAAAAAAAAAAAAAA